GAGGCCCCGTGCTTCCAAAGGCAGAGCCACTGCTGTTTGGATTCTTGCTGTGCCTGACCCAAGCTGCCACCTTTGTGGCCTGGGGACGGGAGGCAGGGGAGCTGCTCTTTGCCAGGTGCCATCCATATTGGGCTGGCAACATGCATTTAATCACTGTGCTGTTTGCAGATGGACTTTAAAAAGCAGTCCCAAGAATATGTCTTTGCTGGTAGTTTAATATGTAGGTCTGTGGTTGAGAATTTTGCTCCATTCATAAGATGCAGCTATTTGTGTGCTGGGAATATTAGCCCCAGAGAAGAAAATCCAAAAGTCAGGGGGACAGCCAGGCTGCTGCTGTGGAGGCCAGGTTGTCCCCCTCTGCGGCCTGGAGGCCTTCTGAAAGGGCTGCCTCTCAGCAGCTGGCAAGAGCCCTGAGGACCAGGAGAACCCAGGAGGCTGTTTTGTGGCCTACTAGGGTGTTACCCTTCACCCCACCTGTGGCTCCAGATGAGAAAGGACCAAATGGAAAAGAGCCCTTTATTTGAAGAAATTGTGTACAATTATTCTTTCTGGAAAAGTAATGAAACCTTCAATAAGGGTATGAGGAAGGGAGTATTTGGTGAAAGGAGGAGGCATGAGGAATGTATAATAGTTGGTGAGATTAGGAAGTCAGGTAAAACTTGGAAATTCTGAGTATGCTTTCATTAAAATCAAACAACAAGTTGGGCTTTGTGGCACACGTCTGTGCTCCCAGAGGCAGCAGGACGCCAAGTTCAAGCTCTGCCTGACAATTTAGTGACTTGGGGAGACCCTGTCTCAACCACCACCAGCAGCAGCACCACCAACAGCAGAATAGAAAGGGGCTGGGGATGGAGCTCAGCGTGAAGGCTTTGGCTTCAGCCCCCAGGACCACAAAACAAAACACAAACCAAACAGAACCACAAAGCCCACACAAACCAAAAAAGGTGCTTGGCACCAGACTGCACATTAACCAGGTGGGGAGATGGACGGGGAGCCCCCGAGTGTGGGGTGGCGGGGCCCCAGGCAGCGAGGCCTCTGCGTATGGGATATGTGACCTCCCAGCGGGCTCTGGGCCACCCGGCCGCCCAGGGACTTGGCTCAGGACACGGTGTGCACGGAGAACCCACTGGCAGGAGCAGAGATGATTTATGGGCAGAGCTCTGAGATTCCCTTAAATAGCAAAGAGCAGCTGCTCAGCCCTGCTGGCCTGGCTTCTGTCTCCTGCCTTCCCAGCTTCTTGGCCAACGACAACCTGCTCGTGCCCACCCAGCCCAGGCCCTGGAGGGGTGAGGGTGCCCACCCAGGCGGGACTCAGGGCGCCGGAAGGGAGATGGGGAGTGCCCGGCTTGGCCCTGGCACCCGGCCAGCCTCTGATGAGGGTAGCGCTGACCACCACGCAATCATGGTGGGCCCCTGACCACAGAGCACATCTCCGAGATGCCAGTGGAAGCCGAATACCTTGGGCAGTGGGTCTCGCCAGACATGGTGCATTCCTGGGATCCCAGCACTCAGGAAGCTGAGGCAGGAGGATTGCTTTGAGTTCCAGTCCAGCCTGAATTATATAACAAGATCCTGTCTCAAAAAACCAAAAAAACCCCCCACTATCACTACCAATAAAAAAGACTTAAGATATGTTCTGTGCACGTACCCATCCCTCATGATGCACTGCAAACGGGGACTAAGAAGAGTAAAGGTATTGTGTGAGCAGAGCCTCGCTGTCTCCTCCTTGCAGAATGTCTTCCTGCACTTCGAAGGTCACAGCTGATCTCAGATAACTGACCTTGTGCAGGTAACTGGGTGCAACTGCCCTCAGAATTTTCATCCGTAATCTTCATTTCAAACTGAGCATGGCATTAGATCTGACTTCGAATAAAACTGAAATGAATGAAATTCTTCCATGTGCTGAGGAGACATGGAACGCGTGCAGGATGAAGATGTGAAGGGAAATGTTTACAGCTGGTGCGGTCCCCTGGGTAGGGGAGGGTGCTGACCATTCCTGCCTCAGCCTACGGGTGGGAAAGTAATCCCACAGCTGGGCCCAGACTAAGATCTGAGCTAATTTTGGGGGACAAGTGGTTTTTGAAAATCAGAGTCTAAATGGGCTTTGAGAAAATACGGCTTAATGAATTAAAATGGCTAGCCAAAGTTCCTTAAATTAGATTAGTGCCACATCTATATTCCTTTAAATTATAAATATTTTGAAGAATATTTTGAAGGCTGAATAAGGCTGCTGTCAACCCCCCAAGAATGAACTTAAAAGAGTATTTGTAACTGGATGTGGTGATGCAGATCTGTGATCCCAGCACTGTGAGAGGCTGAGACCGGAGGATCAGAAATTTGACCCCAGCCTGGGCAACATAGCAACTTAGTGAGACCCTGCGTCAAAATAAAAATGAGCTGGGGTTGCAGCTCAGTGTAAAGGCTCTGGGTTTGATCACTAGTTCTGCAGAAAGGGGCCGGCCATTTGTGTTCAGATGGAGAGTGTAGGGTGTGCACGCGCATGTGTGTGTGCAACAACAGGAGGCACTAGTGTGTCGGGAAGGAGGAAGACTTGAACACAGGCCAGGCACTTCTGAGGCTCACACTCTGAAGGGCTCACAGAGCAGGTGGCAAAGCCACAGCAGCGGCCGGAAGTGTGTGGATCTGTGCAGTGGGTCGGAGACGAAGCACAGCAGGGTCCCTGCCAGCACCGGGTCCCCTGGAGGGCGAGGAGCTGTTGGCCATGGGGCGACCAGCCCTCTCCTGTTCCCGCACTGGCTCGGCCCTGGATCCGAGGGTCTCTCACTCAGCAGGTGAGGCTGGACTGCTGCTCCTGGGGACCTTGCTGCAGCTGTGCCTGGCCAAGGAGCAGAAGAGTCAGGGGTGCACCCAGCCCTACCGAGCCGGCTTCACTGAAAGGCTCATGTCGCCAGTCCAGCTAATTAGGCAGCAAAAGCCCAGAGTTTTCCAGTATGTACTGTGAGCGAGCCTAGGGCTTCACAGGGAGCAGCACCCCTGCCCCTGTTTTGTCTTTTATTTTGAGCCGGTCTTATTAATTGCTAGGTTGCCTGGGCTGGGCTGGAACCTGTGATCCTCCTGGCTCAGCCTCCCAGGGTGCTGGTGTTACAGGTGTGAGCCACTATGCCTGGGTCCCTGCCTTTTCAAAGCCGGTACTTTCCACTCAGCAGGATGGGTGGCAGGTGAAGGGAGTTTTCTGTGGCTGCAGCCAGCTTTCTGGTTGACTCCACTACTCGCTGGGGGTCTGAGCTGGGCGGCTGAGAAACCAGAGAGCTGGGGCAGAGCGGCAGGTATGGTGGCTCCTAGGGGAGAGGCAGCCGTGTACCTCAGCCTCGTGTGTACAAGCAGTCCTGGCTGCAGGCCAGTGGAGGGGAGCTGGGCCCCAGGGCTGCGGGTTGGCCGGGGGGAGACACAGAGCTGGGGCTCAGCGGTCCAGGTCTGGAGGATCAGAGCTGGGCTGGGCCAGGCCGGGCAAGGACGAGTCCTGGGTCCTGGAGCTTAACCCTGACATTTGCCACAGCTGGCCAGGCCTGGAGGGTCAGCCCTGCCCAGAAAGTGCTTGGGGATGCTCAGTAGCGTCCAGGGATGGTGAGGTGCAGGAGCTGTCTCTTGAGTCCTTGGGGGTTGAAGGCAACTTTGATTTGGGGACAATGGGGCGCAGCTTTGCAGTGTGTCTATGGTGTTCATCACACAGGTTCTCAGGGGTGGGCAGGCTTTTCCGAGCTGGTGCAGCTGTGGGCTCAGTGTGGCCGCAGGGCAGGTGGCTATGCCCCACAAGCTGGGGCCCCAGGGAGTCCACGGATTGAAGCCTGGCCCAGGCATCTGAAAGAGGCTGCCTGCCGCTGTCTCGGGCAGGTGACACGGGCATCAGTGGGAAGCAGACACAGGGTTTGGGGTCACAGTGGGGCTGGGTCAGGACAGCCTAGGGGGACAGAAGTGCTCCACATACTGTGCCAGCCCTGCAGGGCAGCGCTGCCCTGGGGTGTGGGTTCATGAGCTTGAGGCTAGTGCTACAGAAAGGGAAGGAAGTTGGGTCCTGTGGCCGGAGAGGGGATGGGGGAGGACAGTGGGAGCCAGATTGAAGGTTTACATTTGTGGCCTTGGCTGGGATTGGTGGCACGCACCTGTCATCTCTGAACTCTGGGAAGCTGAGGCAGGAGAATTGAAAGTTCGAGCCCTGCCTGGGCAACTCAGCAAGACTCTGTCTCAAAACAAAAACTAAAAAGAGCTGGAGATGCAGCTCAGTGCAAAGGCCCTGGGTTCCATCCTCAGTGCTGAAAAAAAATTGTGGTACTGTTAGCAGGGCTGGCTGTGCCTGTGCCCTGGTCAGGGCTGGCAGCTGCACTGTGTCGTGGGCCAGGGGGAAAGGGAGCCACCACAGGAAGGGGGCAGCTCCACGTTCGTTAACACCGAGCTGAAAAACAAAACCGAACTCAGCTGCGATCACTGGACTTCGAGGTGTTTAGCTCTATTTTTTTGGAGGGGGGATAGTTGCAAATATTAGTTTCTCAGGAAAGGAAATGGAGGCTATGGAGACAAGAGAGTCTATGAGCTCACTGCGTAGCCCAGGCTGGCCTTGAACTCACAGCGATCCTCCTGCCTCAGCCTCTGGAGTGCTGAGGTTATAGCACTAAAGCGCTGGAGCCTCACAGTTTCCCATCCATTCAGCCAGAAATGATAAAACCAGAATCTCTTTACAATTAAATTCTGTAATATTAAAAAAAATCAACACAAAGTCCCAAAGTTGCATTTCTTCCCTTATCTTTTGGCCTTTTCCTTATCTTTTAAAGCACTATTATTCACACACAGCAATTGTCTGAAATTTCCAGGAACTGCAGGTGAGGTAGTGAGATAAGAAGGGGAAAAAGAGGAAAAAGCAGAATTTTAATGAAGAAAACTGAAGCATGGCTTCCTTCAAAAACAAACCAACCATTAGTCATGATTATTAAAAATAGAACTCCAAGATCAAAAATCCAAGTCTTTTCTAGATGCATGTACTTTTTATTAATTCATCAAATGAAAATTTCCCTAGGCTCAGGAAAGATTTCCAGAATGCTCAGGAGAGGGACAGGGTAGACACAGGTCACAGGGCGCCTGCACCCCGCCCGCCCGGGACCCCGCTAGTGTTGATTTCCAGCTGTTGTGATGTCCTGGCTGTGCCACTGACATTAAGATTCCTCCCTTTACATTTTTCATCTCACCGGGATCCATGGGCCAGCGTGGGTCCAACATTACAACCCATCTCGCACGGTTTCACCCTCTTACGTGACAACTGAGCCTGATATTCAAGATTGCTCTCTCTCTGCAAACAAAAGGAAAATGCCATTTGTGAGCCGTGGCCCGACACAGCAGGAGCTGATGAACGGAGCCCGCTGTACTGGAGTAAGTTCGGAGGGCCGGTGCCAATCCAGTCAGAAATATTAACCCTGGCAAACACAGACTCAGCTGTGCTGCACCGATGAAGGCTCAGTTGCTTTCTGGGAAACACGGGAGCCCTGAGAGGGAGAAGGGTGTGCGTGACAGGACTGCTGAGCTTGTGAACCCTACCCGCAGAAGGGGGAGCTCCCCTGGGGTGTCCTGTCCCAGAAGGCCTGGGGTACCATTCCCCAGAGACCCATAGAAGCTGGGGAGCCACTGGGCGTGGTCATCACACCTGTGATCCCAGCCCTTGGGAGGCTGAGGCAGGAGGATCACTGTGAGTTCAAGGTCAGCCTGGGCTACACAATGAGACCCTGTCTGCACAAGTCTGAGCTGCCCTGGCACTCCATGCTGGGTGACCTCTGGCATGTTCCAGAATTTCTCCATCCGTGTCCTGATCTCTAACATGGAGACAAGACAAGGACACTTCCTTTCCCGAGAGTTATTCTGTGGAGGAAGATCAGACAACATGTGCCAAGCTCGCTGTGTGAGCTGAACACAAGTGGATCAGCGAAGATGTGAATTACGTTTATTGTTCAGTCAGTGAACACACTTCCTGTTCTCATCCAGAACCTTCCTGAGGATGGGGCCAGAGGGACTCGGGCAATAAAGAGCCCCAGAGCATTAAAGGGCCCAAGAAGTGTTCTTTGTGAAATTTAAGCGATTTCCTACAATTTGTATATTCACTTCAGCAAGCGTTTACTACAGGCCTGCAATGTGATTGTCCATAGGACAGATATTATAATTAAAGTGGCCACTGTGTGAGCACGCACGCGCACACACACACACACAAGCACACATACACACACGCAAACACACACATGGCCTCTTGGGGCCCCTGAGTGCAGGAAGATCCCCTTCCACTTTGGAGATCTTACAAAAAGGAAACCAAATCAAACCAATGGGATGTGTGGGAAGATGCCGGATGATTTGTTTTGGGGCCGTACTGCTTTCCTTGACTATTTTGTGGCTCTATTTCAGTCCATCTGACAGAAGGGAGGCGGGGTTCTCACAGTATTAGGGAGACTGGGGCTCAGAGGTGGGACTGGGTATTCCAGGGTGGAGGCACTGATACTGGAGAATGAAACTGGACTGGCGTTCCAGGTTTACTGTGATGTTTGTTCCCAGTTGGATCCTGAGCTAGTGAATTAACCTCTCTGAACCATTTTCTCACCTGGGAGGTGGAGTTCGTCAGAGCTGCTTGCAGGACTGGTGGACAAGGTGGGATAGGTGTGCACAGAGGTGCAGATGCTCAAGCTGGGCCCATGAGGGCCTTGCGAGGGTTGTGCTAAGGACAAAGCTGGCCTGTAGGTGCAGGTGTGGGTGCTGTGCAACCTCCCTACCTCCCTGTGGCTGGCCCTGTGGGCCCAGCGGGAACTGGACTGGGCAGTGCAGCATCTGGGAGGCTGAGGCAGGATGCCGGGGCCCCTGGGAAGGTGGACAGAGGTGCCTGCCTGGCAGACAGCTTTCCTAAGGAGCTTGCACTTCTGCACAGGAGGGAAGAGCCTTGCACAGGAAGTGACGTCACCATTGGTTTTCATCATCCCACACCCACCAAGCCATCCTAGGCCCTCCTCCCTGCCCCAGGCCCTGGCTGCCAGGCTATGCCGCCCAGCTCTATGGAGCACCTGCCCTGGCCCTTCCTTGGTCTCTGTGGCTTTCTGTGCCTGGCTTCCTCCACTGAGCACACGACTTCTAGGCTGCCATCTGCGGGTGCCCAAGTCACCTTCCACCCGCTGGATATCACCGTGTTCACCATCCGTATGCTGATGGGCCAGCGCTGGGGCTTTGTGCTCACTCAGCTGCCGTGGGCCAGGCTGAGTAAGAGCACAGTGGCATGTGTTGACCTGACTCAGCCTCTCTTACCTCCCACCAGCTTGTTCTCCATGTGGCTTGTCATCTTTCGGGAGAGAAATCCGATCCGTTCGTCCTCCTACTTGGGCTCACTTCAGGGGCTTCCCTGGCCTTGCAAGGGAGAAGTAAAACCCATGAGTATGGTGCTGCAGGACCTGTGAGTGCTGGGTTTGGCCGGTGTCTCTCTCCTGTGGCTCTGAGCAGCTCAGCCAGCCAGGATGGCTGTCAGTCCCCACTACAGCTGGCTTCTGCCAAACGTGATCTGCTCCCTGGCCAGTGCCGCTTAGCCCAGAAAGCTCTTCTGGAGCCCTCTTCACTGAGCTACCCAGAAGTCATAATCGCACTTCCGGTTTCAATTCCAGCCTTGCTTTCCAGGCAGCCTTGGCCCACCTGTAGCCAAGTCCAGCCAAGCACTGGAGGGGGATGCAAATGCCACTTCTGATGCAAGTGCCATGCCTTCTGCTCTGTCTCCTGGCCTTTCCTCTCTGCAGCAGGGATCCCCACTGAGTTCAGGTGATAAATTATGCTCCCCTGAAGAAACGTTAGCTGCAGGAAGACCCACACAGGGATGTCTGGGGCATTGTCCACTCCTCGTGGATTTTCTTACCCTTGGTGGGAGCTCAGTGTCCGTTGGCTGCATGTCTAGAGCATCCAGTCCCAGCCACACTGGCACATGTGATGCCCTCTGCGTTCACTGAGGCCCCCAGTCCTGTGAGTAGTCTAGGGGCCACATCTTTTCCCCAAGGGCCACACAGACAGCTGTGTCCCATGCTCCAATCTGAGGTGGCTGCAAGGTGAGAGAGGTGGCTGTTCTCTGAGAGCCTGGAAAATAAGAAGAAGGTGCTGGTGGGAAAATTGCTTTCATGTGGCCCGTGACTGTGTTGTTTTAGGCAGAGGAACCGCAGCCCCAGCCTAAGTTGAGAATGCAGGATGGCTGCAATGCATTAAGCCTCAGGCCAGCGCTTGTACATTTGCAATGATGTCACAGCCCTGACGAGAGAGGATCACTCAGACTCCTGCAGAGTACGGGTAAAGTGAGTGCCCTGTGAAAGTCACTTGTGAAGTCTGACCCTTGGAACAAGTTTGGGCTAACTGGAGTCTGGTCATTTGTACCATGATGAGGACAATAATAACCTCTCTTGTCAGGTCCTGAAGCTTGGGCCGTACTTTCCCACTGGAAGAACAGTGGGAAAGACCTCTTAAGGTGAACAACGGCTATGTGGAGAGGTGCTGGGGTGGCTTCTCCTCGGGACAGTGGCCTGGTGTGGGATGGTCCACCCAGAGCCTTGCTGACTCTCAAGCAGGGCAGTGTGGTCTTTTACGGTCCACACAGCACATGTAAGGTCTTAATGAGGAGATTGCTTTACTCAGGAATTTTCTTTTTTTCCTGTTAAAAAAGGTTTTGGTGAGAAAATAATGACAAAGCATTAATCATCCTTCAAGATGACGGTGAATGTCCACTGGGCATGGTGCTAATGGCAGGAGCTGGCTGAACTTCCTACATGGGCTGCTCTTCAGAGTTCTCTCAGTGTCACCTTAGGGCTACCCTGAGTAGCCTGTTGTGTACATGGAGCTGAATGTTAGTGAGATTACATAACTTGTCCAGAGAGCTTCATTAGTGGCAAACAGAGGATTGTAAACCAGTTTCCTGAGCCATACAGTGAGTGTGATGCCCTTTTGGAAGTGTGGGAAGTGGAAGTCAGGGAACTCTTAGGGCTCAGACCCATGCCACGGGAAGCAATTACAGATGGCAAAACACAGAAATCCATCATCAGTGTCCCCAAGAAATACACCTGGAGACAGCAGCTCCTTCCCATCACCATGTAGAGCCTGAGAACTGGTTAGGGTTGATCTCATCACTGGGAGAAGAGATACCCACAGTTTATCGAAGAGAAGTTTATTTTGGCTCACAGTATATTGAGGATTCAGTCCATGGTCAGCGCTCCAAGGCAGAAATAGCTTAGTTTGTGATGGCCTGGAAGCAAGGAGAAGGGAGGAGCTGGGGACAGGAATGCACCTTTCCAGGTCTCACCCCAGTGACCTCCTCCAACCAGGGCCACCTCTTACAGCACATTCAGTTGTGAACGCATCCATGATGGATCCATTGATGAACACAGCAACCATGATCTGTCACCTTCTAAAAGCTCCAGCTCTGAACACAGGAGCTTTTTGGGAGGGATTCTAGACCTAAACCCTAGCACCACGTGTGATCTAATTAAGTACACACTCTGTTCTTGGTTTCTGTGTCCTATAGTTGCACTTCTGGTTCCATGCTGCATGGTCTTATATGTCACCCACTTGGCAATGCCAGAAAGGTAATTTCCCCACTGTGCCCCACTACACTGCCTGCCAGTGAAACCTTGATTGACACAATGTAGTTCCCAGGAAGGTGGCATGGTTTGGGGTTCATGGACACAGACTCTCCTGGTGCGCCTTTCAAATCCCAGCTCTGCTACATATGGCAATGGACAATGACCTGGAGTGTCACAGAAGGTGTGGCCCCAAGGAGAAGCAGAGGTCAGATGCTTCCCACACAGCACCTGGCCTTGACCCATGTGGAGGCAGTGTGAAGCCTGGCATGATGGAGAAGGTCCCTGCATCCTGGGGCTGGGGCAGAAGTAGCCCTGGATGAGGGAAGGCAGAGCTGTCCCGCCTTGGCTGTGTTTGTCCGTGGCGAACCTCCTGTGCGGTTCTTCATGGTTCTCTTTGCTCAGGGGACAGCAGTAGTGTAATCGCTGGAGAACAGCTGGGTCCAGGTGGTGGCGCACGCCTGCCATCCCAGCACTGTGGGAGGCTGAGGCAGGAGAACTGTAAGATCAAACACAGTCCCGGCAACTTAGCACCTTAGCAAGATCCTGTCTCAAAATAGAAGCTAAAAAGGGCTGGGGATGCAGCTCAGTGTGAAGGCCCTGGGTTCAATCTGCAAGACCACAAGAAATGGGGAGGGGATGAGGTGAGGTTTCTACTCTGGAAATCCAGGCTGCACAAACAGCAGGGTAGAGCCAGGGGCTGCTATGCATGGGCCAAGAAAGCTGGACAGGAGGAAAGGAAGAGACGTCATTAGCACTCCCTGGAATCCTTCAGGACATTCTCTGCAGAGAGGAAAGGAGCAAAGGCAAACACCAGTTTGAAATACTGTTTCTTAGGCCAAGAGCATCTATGTGTGGGCCATGTGTGTCCTTCCAGCTGCAGAACACATCTGGACCAGAGTCTCGGGAGGGAAAGCCCCTTGGGAAGTGGGCAGGAGACGTGGGGGCTCCTTTTGCTGCATCCTTCGAAGCCACAACACACAGCTCCCGCAGTGTGGATGGGCCATGCTGCCAAGGTCACCCCAAGAGGTCCCAGCCCACACAGAGTGAGTTTGGGCAGGCACAAAGGGCTACTTATGCCTGCATGCAAGCAGAGCACACCAAGGTCACCAAGGGGCACCTCATCCAAAACCAAGCCCTTTAACATCAGTACGAGCCCAGCAACACGGTGTCACCAGACTCAGATGCACACCAGGTTAGTGTCTTTAACCACAAGTAGTTCAGAAACTGATTGCACTTACAGATTTAGTAAATCCTCAATCCCCACAATATGCTTTTATAGTTCAAATATGTTGCCTGATTTGTCCTCAGTGCAGCACTTTGATGCATACTTTATAGAAGTTGGTGCAGAGAGAAAATAAGTGCCTTCCCTGCATGATTACTGCAAAAAGAACAAAAAGTGGTGGTTACTGTGTGGGTGACCCACGTCCTAAGACACAACTCGGGCTCCCTGATTCTTACCTCATGCCCCGGTGCAGGAGTGAACAGGACACATTTCCGCAGACTCCACCGTACCTGGCTCCTTCAGGTTTTGGCTGTAGAATCACTACCTGGAAGGGATCACAGAATTTATATGTGCTTAGGTGTCTTTGTCTTCCCTTCAAGTGCACATTGCTGCAATCCACGCTGGCCTGTGGGTCTCAGGGAGGTAAGACCAGGTTCCTCCTCCTCCTGCTGTGCTTCTGTCTCACTCTGAACCAGGCTCTCTGGACATTTGATGTGGGCTCTCTCTCCTCCTCCCTCTCTCTCCTCTTCTGGGAGATGGAGTTCATATCATGATCGATTCCTGTGCCTTCTCTGGGCTCCGTGCTGTCAGTATAAAGGATGCTCTGATATGGTTTCTTATAGAACAACTACAGCATTCTATACAATAATGTAAATAGAATAGTTGAGGTCTGTAGTTTTTTTTTTCACATAAAAATATATTAAATATTTTCTGATGGCAGTGATAACAACCGATAATGTTACCAAAAATTCTTGAGTGCTTGTCATGCCTTCAAACAAAAGATTACATAATTGTTTGAAAGGAGCTTTTCTTTGGAGACTGGAAAGATGTGCATTATGGTGTTAGCAGAGATCCCAGAACCTAGTCTGACTCAATCCTTGGTATTAATTGGTGAGAGTGTATGGGGGGAAGACACAAGGTTGACAATTCCCATTCCAATCAGTGTTTGCAACTTCAGGGAGAATTCTGCGGTACTCACCATTTGGACCACATTTCTGTAGAAGACTGACCCCCACTTTGAAGCTGGTGTTTTGTGAGCCCTGTGTGCTGAGCAGAATATCATGACCATCGGTTACATGAGTTATGTCTCCCATAAACAGAAGAGAAAGGAGACACTGATGGAAAAAATGAGGTCTGGTTCTTATTGATGAGGAAGCATATGTTATGTGCTAAATATTGGAGATTTTCTTAAGTTAAAGATTCCATCAAAGAAAAGAGCTCAGGTCAGAGCTAAGAGCCAACACAATGCAAAGGCAGATGTGTCTCTCTTGGTGTTGATAGACCAAGACAGATAAGCGGGAGGATTAGAAGATCAGGAAAATGTTTGGACTTTCTAAGTCAAGATTTGGAGGGCAAAAACAATATTAAACACATGAGATACAAATTTATTTCAGAAATAGAAATTCATCAAAGGCTGAGCTATCCTGTCATTATATAGGACAATGGAAAACAGCATGCGCCTGTGCGCACACACACACAAGTATGTTAAATCCCAAGGAACTCAACTTTTGGAAACCATTTTAGAACAGCGTTAAACAATAAGTTCAGTAACTCTCCAGCCAGCCCTCTATTCCATTTGCTTTAATCCAAGGTTCTTTCAGTGGAGTTCGAATACTCCTGTTGGAACCTGTCCTAGACCTGAAAGGCTGACCTTGTCTTGGTGGGTCTTACAAACCCATGAAAGACCACTGCTGAACAGAGTGGGGTTTTAACCACATTTCAGCTCCTCGACCTCTGGAGCTCGCTTCCAGCCATCCCTCCCCGGGAAGACATTGTAGGAGGACAAAGAGGACGTCTTCCCTGAGGTGCATCCTTCGGCCTTGGCAGGGAGCTGTGCTGGATGACCCAGTCGGCCTTTCCTAGCTCTGATTTCTGCGATCCTCCGAAAATCATCACCCACGACAAGGAACAGATGCTGCCTGGGGAGACAATGACTGCAGGGCCGCATTTCCCCAGCAGCCCACGCGTAGCCTGGTTGCCACCTCTTCCTCCCCCAGCTCCCCACTTGGTGGCAGCTGATGGATATTTATAGTCCTCTTCCTCAGCCTGCCAATTATAATTATCAATATCGCCACTGATACAAAAAGAGGAAACATCATCCGAGTTGGGCACAGCGTGTGATAAGCCAAGTTTGAGCTAAAAAATGAAAACAGTTTCTTCCGATCATAGACAAAAGAGAGGTGCATTTGGTGGCGGGGCTGGCATCTGAGCTGTGCTGCTGTGGCCCCCAGGGACAGCTTCCGCCTCCCTGGCCGCACGTTTGTCGATGAAAAGCAAGGTGGAGGTAACCACAGGGGCGCTCGGCAGACAGTGCCGCCTCTACTGTGTGGAGTGAGAGAGTCGCTTTGAATATAATAAATAAAAGTGAAGTCTTCCACAAGGCAGCGCGGCTCGGTAATTGCTGTTTTGGAACTCACGTCCATGCAGTTATCTAACTCAGCGTTTCATCTCCAGCTGCAGCACAATTTTTGCCAAATATAGATAAATGAAGTTAAAGTTATTGGCAGCCGCAAGTTCTGTGTCCCTGTTTTGAGTTTATAGATTTCATAGGAATGGCATCACTTAACTTCTGCTGCAGACGATTGTTCTTCAGGAGTGAGAACTTTGCGGATGGCCCAGGCTCCACAGCATTGGACTGAGGCTGGGGTTTGCATCAGAGGGGTCTTTGAGGGCAGGAGTGAGACCGCTCTTGGGCTGTGGGTCAGGTGAAACACTGAAACACGGAGGCGGAGGGAAGACAGGTTCTTAGCCCAACTGATGCCCTTCAAGTTTCCAAAGCTTAACGGAGTCTTCGGGAAGCACCTTCCAGCAATCTTGTGATCCCAGTCAGGCCCCCAGCAGCAGAGCTCCAAGCCCATCCACCCCTTCCCAGCTCACCTGCAGAAACCCAAGCCCATCACCGGCCAGGCTGCTTGCTTCTCGCCTCTTATTTCGGATGAAAGTTGAGGTTATAAAATTCCTGGAGAGGCTGACTCCCCACATTACGGAGCTGGGAGGTAAGAGTGCCCTTAAGATCCAGAGTCAACTTGGCACGACTTTCCTTTCTCTTCCAAGGTTGACGCCCCCAGCTTCTTGCTTGCTCACCTCTGGTTAGACACGAAGCTTAGTCTTTCCAGAGGAAGATGATCCCACTGCCTGCTGCCCACTGGGAGCAGCATGGAGGAGGCCGTTCCTGGGCAGTGTTAGCAGATGCATGTCCAGCAGCCTCGTGTTCTCTCGCACCGGAACACACAGCATCTCCTCCATCCTGATGTGGCTTTGTTTCTAGGCTCTTTATCATCCTGCGGCTCTGTTGCTACGGTAAAAATACTTTCTAGAATCGAATGTAGTTACAACTTAGGACAATAAGAAGACACATTTTTTTGAAGAACATTATGTAAGTCAAAAACTAACACACACACACACACACACACACATCCCTTGGCCATTAACTAACCAGGAACTGCTTCTTAGTTAGAGTTGAAGTTAATGTTTCCCGTCACCATTTACCTCATTCAGACCAGGAATAACCACTCACTCCCACGTGCCTCTGCTTGGTGACCCCTCCGTATATGATATCAAAACAAAGTCATCAATTAATTTTCTTCCTCTTCTTTCCCTTCTTTTCGTTGTTCTTTGGATGATGTTTCCTTTTTTGTATTAGTGGAGATATTGATAATTATAACTGGCAGGCCGAGGAAGAGGACTATATATGCCGAAAGCTTCTTTCTCTCTCTTCCCTTTCTTTCTCCCTCCCTCCCTCCCTTCCTTCCTTCCTTCTTTCCTTCCTTCCTTACCCTAACTCTTTCCTTTAGAAAAAAATTGAGATACAATTCTCGCAACTTCAAATTAGCCCCAGACCACCTTTCCAGTGCCCCGCCCAGGTGTTTACTGCATTCACAGTGTTATGCAGCAACCCTTCTCCAGGCTTGGAGATATTTCCATCACGCTAGAAGGACCCTGGGCCTACTCTGTGGTCACCGCACCCTCCCCAACCCTGCTCAGAACTCCTGAGCTTCTGTCCACCCTCCGTCTTCACATTGTCAGTGTTGGAAACACTTCCTTTCAGTCCTTCCATCTGGTTTTAATGTCTCTGCAGCATGGATGAAACCCACTGTGGCCGGCATTTAATATGCATCAGCTCGCCGACTCCTCACAGAAGTACTATCAGAAGCAACTGTTTTTATTCCTTCTCAACAGGTGGAATCAAGGCAGAGGATGGTGAGGTTGCTGGCACAGAGTCCCCCGGCAGGAGGTGGCAGAGCTGGGGCTCCAGCCCTGCAAGGTTGCCTTCTCATGTGCCTGTCTTGGAGCTGGGTCTTCAGCCTGGCCGGCTCCCATCCTCTCCCGCTGCTGTCTACTGGACACGGATCTCACTGCTGCTTTCTCTCTCTGCTTTGTTTCCTGCCTACTTCTGGTTTTGTTCTCTAGCTTCTTGGGACATCAGGCCACAGTGTTGAAGACTGTTGTGATTTCCAGGACATCCTGCAGTGACCAAAGGCGCAACTGCTCTGCTCTGGTTAAAAAAGTCTTTTTGGCTCGACACTGAACTCTTTGGTAAAAACTAAACTTTTCCAAAGCTCTTTTAGACATGGAGTAAAACTGAGAATTTTGTTAGTGAGAAACAAGCAAAGTGCAAGAGAGGAGATTGACTTCTGTATTTTTTACTTTCTCATCATTGAGATGAAAAAATAATTAAGATGTGTTCTGTCCATGTACCAACTCCCCACAAGAGATGTACTGCAAACATGGACTAATAAAAATAAAAATTGAAACAAAATGTTCAACAGTGACAGCTTAAAGGGGGAGAGGTTTAATTTGGCTCATGGTTTGGGGGGATTCAGTCCTTAGCCAGCTGTTTCCACGGCAGAAACATCATGGCAGAAGGGCCTGGTTGAGGACAGCTGCTCTCCCCACGGCAGCCAGAAAGCAGTGAGAGGAGGGAGGAGCTGGGGAGGAGAAACACACCCTTCCGGGTCTCACCCCAGTGACCTCCCCCAACCAGGGCCGCCTCCTACAGCACATGCAGCCAGAAACTCACCCGTGATGGAGCCACTGAGGAGCACAGCGCCCCAGGATCCAGTCACCTTGGACACATGTGAGATCCTTGAGGTCATTTTAGATCCAAGTTGTAACAACTTTATATGCAAAGAAGGACTGAAGAAAACAGAAACAAAGCACAAAAGTGACTAGCCATTTCAAAATTACTTTCCTTTGTAAAGGTTAAAGCAGAGAGATTTTCTTATCAGGCAGCCAAAATTGGTCTATTTGAGGATCTGACTAATGTCTTGTTCTCTCCTGATTTTTTTGAAGGTCCCGCCAGCAGTGTGGTGGCTGGAACATCAGCCCAAGTCACTGCATACTCCATCATTCTATCTAACAGTGTCTACAAATAAATATATTTGATGTATTTTGAGTCTATAAATACACATGCATGCTTCTTGTAAATTCATGTAACTCTTTCTAAATTTTAGGGTGCTGAAGATTATTGTTTTTACCAACTTACACAAATTTACCATTTTGTTCCCATAAAAGAAAGTTAGTCTCTTTTCTTTTCTTTCCTTTTCTTTTTCAGTGCTGAGGATTGAAACCAGAGCTTTCACACTGAGGTACATACCCAGCCCTTTTTATTTTTTATATTGAGGTAGTCTCCCGAAATCACTAAGTTGCCCAGCTTGGCTTCAAACTTGTGATCTTCAGGCCTTAGCTTCCCAGACTGTTGGAATTATAGTGTGTGCCACCATGCGTTGAACAAGTCAGCTTTGTAAAAGGTGAACGAAAGTGTTAAACACCCTCGCCCTCGTGTCGGGCAGGGCTTCCTGTCCTTCTAAACGTGGGCCTCTCTCTTGTCCCCAGAATGTGGGCTCTTGGTCACATGCCAACTCCTGCACCCATGGCAGCCCTGGCGTGGTAGAGCAATAATTACAGAAGCGTGGACTATCCTCTGTCATCCCTAGGTGATAGGCAGCGTCTTCAGTGAGTCGAATGCTTTATTGTCTTTAATCCCCACCCTAAAGCCAGGAGGTCCATGCCACCTTAATGCCGTGGAGCTGGGGATTGAACCCAGGGCCTTGCACTGAGCCACGTCCCTGGCTCTTTTCATTCTTCTTTTGGAGATAGGGTCTTGCTGAATTGCCCATGTTGGGTTTGAACTTGAGATCCTTTCACCTCGGCCTCCTAGAGTGCTGATTCCAGGCATGCTCCACCACTCTTGGCTGTTACACTGTCAGTTTTCACTACAGAGAGAAAGAGATGTGAACAGGGAGTCATGTTTATGACTTTGGGTATTTCTTTTCTCTTTTTGGGAAAAAATGTGGATGTGGAATTCTGTACTCCACCTCAAACAGTTCCATGCTTTTAGTTAAAGTTGCATAGTGACAGGAGAAGACTTCTATGTGGCTGGAGGTGCAGTTCCCAAACCAAAAGACATGGTGCAGATGTGTGGCTTAGTCCCTGAGCTGTCAGGCTTCACATCCATCCTGCATGTTCTTGCCATTGCTGCACGTGCTGCCTTCAGTCTTGCTCACAGGGCTTCTGCCCGAGTCTGGTTCGACCTAGTCAGGAAGTATGAAGAAATGTAGAGCAGAAGGAACGTTTGATGAAGGATCTCAGGAGGCCAGGTGCTCCTCACTATTTTCAGAAGAAATGAACTCCACTCAGGGGAGAGACGCTTCTCCCAGTGTCAGGCACATAGTAGGTGTTCAACAAATCCCACAGCTGCCTCCTCCCAGCCGGAGGGACCTGTCCAGGTGAGGCCAAGACATCGCGGTTAGTGGGTAGAGAGCTTGGAGCAGGGCTTTGAGGTGAGGCCTCCGGAGGACAGCATGCAGGATGGACAAGGACACCACAGGGGCTGTGTCCACTGCTTACGGGCTGGGTGGGGTAGGGTGGTGAAATCACACATCACTTTTCAGTCCTGCTGGAAGTATGCACTCTAGTTTTACAAATGTTAACCAATTAATTCTTCAAATGACCCTTTGAATCATTTGAACGAGGCAATTGAGGATTAAGAAGTATAAGCACCGTAGCCAGGTGAGGGGGCACATGCTTATAATCCTGGCATGCTGAGAGGCTGAGGCAGAAGGATCCCAAGTTTCAGCCCAGCCTGAACAACACTTAGTGACTTAGCAAGACGCTGTCTTAAAAATAAGGTGAAAAATGGCTATGGATGTAGCTCAGTGTGGAGGCCCTGCATTCAATCCCTAGTACCGATAAATAAATAAAGAGCAAGTACCCAGGTTATGGACAGTAAGTGGCAGAGCCTGGATATGAGCTTGTGTCTGCCTTGTTTTGAGCTCTTCCTGTTTCTGCCCCTGGTTGGGGATGCAGTAAGCTCCTTCTGTGGTGTGGGCATCCCTGTCTGGCTTGCATGCCCAGCGTGCTCATGTGGCCCCTAGCATTTCTGTACCAGGTGTGGCATCTTTTGAGCACAGAGAAAATTGCTAGAAGGAAAGGGACTGGGGGACCCTCAATAGAGGAGGTGGGTGCTCTGTCTCTCCTTTGAGAATATGTGACACGAACTGTCCCTGTCCAAGTGTCAGATGCAGAGAAGTCTTTGCTTGTCGAGGCATGGTCCCCATGGCACTCTTACCCTGTACATCCAGGGCTATAATTTTTGGTTTGTTTTAATAAACCCTGAACTACCTGGTGATTTATTACTTTGCTTTTCATGTGGAAGCATGGCCTGGAGGTAAAAGAAAAACCACAGAACCCTTCTCTGTGAGTTCTCTCTTCCCGTTTCCTGTTACACTGAAAGATAGGAGAGGAAGGCTGCTTTAGCCCTGCTGGTTGCTGAACTGTCCAACTCTGTGTTCGACCTGGCCACTCCTGGCTCCAGCCATTTTCATGAACAACAACACAGTCACACTGGGCTCACACAGTCCCCTAAAGAGAGACAAACCTCAGTGACCTGGGGTCAGTCCGATGCACTTCTATCTCCTGTCATGCCTCTCAATATCTCCCCATGACATCTCACGCCTCCACATTTCTCCAAAGACTTAACAAAAATGTGTGCTGCCTCTCCTGCCTAACCTCCTGCTCCAAAGCAAGGGGTTTAAGGACCCCAGAAACGAAACTCTTTTCCTCGCATGTGAGCCAATGCACATTTTCGAATAAACATGACATGCAAAAATATCAGAGCCGTCTACACAGCACTGCCTTCCCAGACTGCACATTTAAACTTCTCCTTTCCAACCAAGCCCGGCAAGCTCTGTCTCAGCACCAAATAAGGAGCAAGTGCTCAGGCAACCACTTACACCGGTCTTCCTTAAACTCCACCCCGCCCCCGGTGTTTTATTTATTTTTATTTTTTTTGTATTAGAAAACACTTGAAACTTATCATGTGCAGCAGATGGGAGTAGAAAATGCAACTCGAAGACAGTTATATAAATATATCCTTGATGTCTGTTTTGCTTTTCAATTTGCATCGAAAAGTACAAAGGTAGCCGGGTGCGCCAGCCAGGCCGCCCGTGTCTCCTGATATCCTTTCCAGATGTCGGCTAGACTTGGTGGAGCCGGGCTCAGGCGCTGGGGCTGGGCCGCCTCCTCCTGCTCCAGGTGGGATGTTTCACGCCGCGTCTCCATGAGCTCCTTGGCGTCCTCCAAATGCACCAACTTCCACCGCCTCTGATGACCTCAATTTACCTTCCCAGAATCCCTGGCTGTCTGGGATCCAGAGACAGGGCCCCTGCAGTGTTCTCCATGTCCGTTTTGCTTGTCCAAAAGGAGGAACTTGCAAAGGGTGGGGAAAAGTAAAGAAACGGGGGAGGGGGGAAGAAAGGAAGAAAAGAACCCAGTGTTTGCAAAGCGCCCACCTCTGCCTGTCCATACGAGCTCCAGTCAGAAGGGACCGGATGACAAAGCGCTGATGGTGGCTGGCTGTTTGCTCACTCGTGTAAAGGATTTTACACGGTCATGTGTTAACTTCCTGATTAAACATTACTGTGCTCCTCAGAGGTATCATAAATCTCACAGGTGCCAAGTGTATTTATCTAAAAGCCTGTCCCTGTCTAGAGCCGGTAAACAAATGACAGGGGTCATTTATTATGACCGAGGGGGCCTGGAGGAATGCTGTTACTACTCTGTGCCCTTCGTCCCCGTCAGAGAGATGGCCATGTCTTGAGGAGAGGCTGAAACTGCCTCTCTCAGCCCCACATGAGGTCCCTTTTGCTTAGGTTTTCAGGGCTATGTGCAAAAAAGCTCAGGTGATGCTGGGTGTGGTGGTACAAGTCTGTGATCCCAGCACATGGGAGGCTGAGGCAGGAGGATTGCCACAAGTTCAAGGTCAGCCTGAACTGCATAGAGAGACACTTACTCAAAAAACCAAATTGAAAAATAACACACCTGGGTGAAAGATTATTAGGTAAAACCAAGATTGTCCCCAAGGACAATCCTGAACACTGGAGAACATCAGGGACCAACAGACTCTTGGGATGTCACAGATCTGTGGGATGTTTTGTGACTGGCAAAGTTTTAAGGACAAGGAAATTTCTGGGAAATTGCTATGAACGACAGATACCTAAGGGTCAGTTTCTTCCTGGAGTCTTTCAAAACATTAAATGGACTGAACTGGGCATTATTAGCATGAGTGAGTTCGCTCCTTGTGGAAGCGAGAGACGACAAACCAGAGCCGCTTCTCACCTGTCCTTCTGCTTTCTTGTGACAGCAACTGCTTTGGATGGAGATTTGTACTGTGAATTCTGTGTGTGTGTGTGTGTGTGTGTGTGTGTGTGCGCGTGCGCTCATGCGCACGCACACATCTGCCTCTGAAGGAAGCACAGAAACACACAGAAGTGTGGATGGGTGACACGGAGGAAAAGCAAGTCTGGATTTATGTTCACTTTGTTGGTTTGAAGTTCAAGTTCCCAGTTTCACGTGTTCATGAAAATAAAATGAATGCCGATCCCTAAAATGCTGTGAGGGTGAGCTGCATGCCGTTTGGTGCACTGTTTGATTCGTCAAAATTCTACTTTCTATAAACTGGACATGAGAAAATGGAGTTATTTTTCAGTTTAAATAAATGAATAATTTGGGGTCTAGAGCTAACAGTGCTCTTTATCCATTGCAGCAACGCAGCTTTAGCAGGAGGGGCTCTGCCCGTCTTTGAAGGGGAAACATAATGGACGGTGGCCTACACCAGCTTCACCTGTGTTTAGATTTAT